GGTCACTACGGTTTTCAAAGCCTTTAATGGGAGCAGAGTTCTTTTCTCCAGTTGTGTCTGTAATGGCACTTCATCTTACCTGACAATACAGGAATTGCAAGGAAAAGAGGGGCAGGGAATAAAGTTCAGAAAAGGTCCCCCCCCCCTTATTCACAGACACCCCCCTCCCCCAAATGATAAATGCACTTTCTAGCCATTTTCCTGCCTACTTTGCTGTGCAATCGTTGCTTCTAGTGGGCCAACCGGGTCATAGCCAGTCAAACTCAATGGCTGTCAAGACGGACACCTGCATACCATAAAAATAATACATAGTCAAGGAAATAGCTGGGCACAAGATGCGGTTTCCACAAGTTGTATTGCAAATGTGCAGGCATCGCTTGAGTCACTTCCTCCATGCCGGCTGAGGGATTCTGGGAGTTGCAGTCCACAAGCCTTAAAAGTTGCTGAGTTTGGAGACCCTTCCTCTATTAGATGAAGGAAGGGGAAACAGTGTGTGTGTGTGTGTCAAACAAGACTGTGATTCTAACCATTTTGAAAACCTCCTTTGGAAAATCTCAGAATCCCTCCTGAAAAACCAGCCTGCCAACAATTCAAAATGCAAGTGAAAGTGATTGGACCAACGGTAGCCCTTTGCTTTCCTTTCAGTCTGATCAAGACGTACACAAAATTCTCATACATATAATTCTCCAGGGGGGGGAAGGGGGGCAGGTGCCAAGAACTGCAAAGCCTACTTACTCCCCAGCTTTTAAAAGATTCTGTCCCCCTTAAGACCTTGGCTGAAATCCCTTTTGTATTTATCCTGGGAGAATTGTTTCCACACACTTTCCACTTTCCTCCATGTGTGCTTAATTGTATGCAGCCTCCTTCTAGCATCCTTGTTTTTAACCTCCCTGAAATAAGGGTGGGGGGAAAGCAGCCCCAGGCAGGGGGGAAATAAAGAGATAAAAACTTCCCTGTGAGCAGAGAGAGCAAAGCTTCACACATCTTCCCTACCACCTTCCCTCCTTATCACAAAGATACCCTTGACAGTCACACTGGCTCCTTGGATGAAGGATCACAACCATCGCAGCCCCTTCCGGGCGGGGGTCTCCCTCCTTCACGAAGGGCTAATCTGAGCCGCCCTCACTCACACCTCTGCTGCCCTGCCATCCTTCCATACTCTGGGGCAGGGGGAAGAGGAGGGGTCAGGCCTGGGGAGAGCTCCCAATGTTAGAGCTACAGGCTTCTTGAACTGAGCAGGAGCAAATCCCTCGGGCAGCTTTCCTCCAAGCCCCCAGCCCAATCCGCCCTCACCTTCCTCCTCATCCGGCCCTGAAGGCCAGCTCCACTACAGCTTCTGGGGGCCCCGAAGGACGAAGCAGCTCGGACCCCTCAGAAACAATAAGCAGCCAGAGAAAGCATGACGGAGAAGGCACTTCAGAGAAGGTGCGAATGACACAGAGACCCGGTGCCCACTCAGGCACTTCCCACGTCCAGGGCCAGGCAGCCTCCTGGCTCCAGTTCTCCCTGCCCTTCACTTTCCCGGGAGGCCCAAAGAGACCATCAGCGCAGGCACACAGACACGCCAGCAAAGCTGCATGAAACCAGCCGCTCCGGGAGATGCAAGCAGGCCTGGATAATGTGGCTACAGGCGGTGCCTGGAGAAGAGGCCGGGCGGAAGGAAAGCACGCCAGGAATGCAGGGGGATCCGAGACCTGCAGCTCCCGTGGCCCCCAACTGGGGGCCTGCAAGGCAGAGGGTGTAACTCTCCTTCAACGCTCCCAATACAACCCCCCCCCCCATTTCGCAGAGCTTGTGGCTGGTAGCTCAGGTCCCTCTTCCTCAGCCTCAGGGCCCCCATTCCAGAAAGCAAAGCATCCCATGGAAAAGGAGGAGGAAAGCGCTCGCCTCTCTTATCGCGAGTGGCACTCAGCCCAACCACAGCCGAAGAACCAGCCAGGCTCCCTGGTGGAGAAAGAGCCGGGAGGCCCCTTGAGTCCAGCTCAGCTTCAACTGACCGACAGCAGCCGAGGCTTTAGGCAGCGGCCTCCCCAAAGGAGCCAAAGGTTGATCCCGACAGCCTTCATTCTCTGCCCCCGAGGAGGACACCGCGGTCTCCCCAAAGCTGCTTCGGCTGAGATCCGACCCGGGAGGTGCTCAGAAATAGCCCCTTAAACTCAAATGGAAACAGGGACCCTCCAATGCAGCTCAACAGCCCAAAAGCCCCTCGGCTGCCGTCTCCCCTGGAAGGCCCTGAAGCCCCCGAGGGGGCTCAGCAGAGCCTTCCTGCCCCTCAGAAGCCGCACCCAGGCGGGGCCTTTCGGCCCAGCCGCCTCCTTCCCCAGCAGAGAGCAGCCCTGTCAGAGGGCTGGTGGTGGCGGCAACACTGCTCTGCCAAATAATTACTCTGGTGGTAATTAAACTGCAAGCTAACTGAGCAAGACCCTTAATTACTTCTTTGCATCATTACTGGAATTAGAGAGCAGTCTCTCCCCTAAACACACACGTGGGGTGATGGGGTGGGTGGGAGAGGAGCAAAATGGGACAGAGCTCCCCGCCTGGCTGCTAATTTTCATTAGCAGGGAGCAGAGCCATTACTTCCTACTCTTTAAGCAGGCTTTCCTTCCTCCCAGGAGAAGCTCCCGCTCTTATTCAGGGGCTTTTCGCTTAGCAGCCGTGGCACCAGGCCAGCTCCACCGGGCACCTGCACCTGGGAAGTGCCGCTTCCCTAGTCCCTCCCTGGTAAAGCAGGAGCAAAGAGGCCGAGGGCCCACCTTGCCGCCTGCACTTCTCCCAAGGACGCAGCTCCCCTTGTTCCCAACAGAGCTGGGGAAGGATGGCCCTTTCGTGACTTGTGGACTTCAACTCCCAGAATTCCTGGGCCAGCGAGGTTCCCAAACGTTTTGTCCTCTCCTCTCCTTCCAGGCAAGGCAGAGACCCCAAAGGCCGCTCTGGCCTGGAGCTGCCAACATGTGTGACGTGTGGGCAAAAAGAGCCTAACATGCCACCCACCCCCTGAATGGGATAACCAGGAGGCCCTTGAGAGTTCAGCCGCACGTCAGCTTACCTGTGAACGTGATTGGCAGCTAGGATTCCTAACCAGAGCCTTTTTCACATCAAAGTTCTTTTTCTGAACTGGGGTTTCAAGGAGGAAGCCCAGCATTTTCAACGCCAGAAAAATTCTAGCAGCATTCTCCCAACCAAGCCTGCTGCATTTAGAACAAAACACCTTTTTCTTAGTTCCCATATATATCATTACAGTTCTATAGAACAGTGTTTTTCAACCTTGGCAACTTGAAGATGTCTGGACTTCAACTCCCAGAATTCNAGCGCCTGAATTCGGATCAAGGGAAACATGAATGGAGGCTGTGGAAGACGGTCCCAAGTCACTTATGCCTGGGCCGCTGTAACACAGAATGACCACTAAACGAACGGTTGTAAGTCGAGGACACCATAAAGCAGCTCCTCCCCCCCCAGCCCCAAACTCTCCTGGCCTCCTTCAGGCTCCGCCCGGGCATCTCCGCGTGGTCCCCCGTCCACCACCACCACCCCCGCCCTTCAACGCGGGCCAACGGCCAGGCCCTCGGTCCTCCCACAGGGGCGCCTGCGCCGGCCCAGACTCAGGAGGCCCCTCAGGCGACGGGCTGCCCCACCGAAGGACCCCCGGCCGCCCACCGCTCCGCTCGCTCGCTCACCCGCTTGCTAGGCCGCCGACCCCACGGTGCTGGCGCCGCCGCTCGCCCGTTAACAGCCGCCGCCGCGCAGGCCGGTCCCGGTTCGGTTCACCAGCAGGAGGAGGAGGAGGAGGAAGAGGAGGAGGACGCCATTTTGGGAGCCGGCCAAGCCGCGGCCGGCAACATCCGGGGACAAGCGCCTCCCCGTCGCCTGGCGACAGAAGGCCCCGCCCCGCCCGGGGAGAGGAGGGGTCGCTCCCGATTAGGCCTCGCCGGGCCGGAGAGCTCTAGCACTCGCCTGCCATTGGTCGAGAGGGAGAGGGGCGGGGCAGGAGAGGACGAATGGCTGGGCGGCGTGCGTTGAGGGACGGGAGGCTGGGATAGGCGTTTCGGGGCATTTCCGCCTCTTTGCTGCGGTCGGGGCTGCCGGGGGATTCTGGGAGTTGAAGTCCGCAAGTCTTAAAGTTGCCAAACCTGGAGACGCCTGAGCTGTAGGCTGGGAGGGGCTTCCCTCTGCCCCAGAGTGGTCTTGTGTGCCCCCAAACCTTTGACCCCCCCCAACTACCTGAAGAATCCTGGCACATCTGGAACCTTTCCTGGCCCAGGTTGCAGGTGGGCAGCTAGGAAGCTGAGGAATTCTGGGAGTTGAAGTCCACAAGTCTTAAAGTTGCCAACGTTGCAGATCCCTGGTAGACTGCCGCGGGAGGGGAGGCTCCATCACTTGGCCGGCAGCTGCTGCTGAGCCAAGCTCTCCTGGAGCTGCTCCTCGCCCTCTGTGCAGCCAGAACCCGCAGAAAGTCCCGGGTTCAAAGGACACAAGAGCCCCACCGGGCGTTTCCTGGAGATAAAACAGGGATCTCCTGCCCGGCTCATCCGGTCTGCTGGCCAACAACAGAGAAGGTTTGGCCTGGCTCCTTCCCGCTCTTCTCGGCCTCTGGATCTCCACGTGGTCTCCCATCCGACCCCCAAGTAGGAAAATCCACACACCCCACCCAGCTTCATCACGCAGGGAGGGCAGGGCCAGGATTCCTCCCTGCTGGCACCCTTCGGAAGGACCGTCAGAACAGACCATGCGGAGAGCAGCCGCCCTTCACCGGGGAAACAGCTCCCCCAGTTTCCTCCCCGCGTAATTCTGCCCTCCTCCCCCACTGCGAACCAAGGTTTGCAAGGTTTTGTAAGAAGCGCCCATTGGTGTATTTCACTGAGGTTGTGCCCTGCTCCTTCGGCCAGGAAGCACAACCGATCGTCTTCCAAATTGCAAATTCCACCCTACAAGGAATGGCAGAAATATATTAGAAATAACCGTCTGAGAAGTCTGGTTTAAAAATAAACACTTTCTTTGTCTGGTCTCCCTTTAGTCCTGATTTTTATTTCAAGTAATTATTTGCTTAAAAATCACACTTGTCCTCAATGCTACCCGGAGGGCAGCTGCAGCAACATCACTGAACTTCCTCCTCCTTTTCCTCCAGTGGTCTTCTTCTTCTTCTTCACTCTTTCACCCGCTTCACGCAAACCGCTTCATATTCAGGCCAGAGAGCTCAGTGCAATTGAAGCCGCTGGAGCTCAGGAGGTGGGATACTGGCTGCCTCCGAGGGTCTTCCAGCCTGGAGGGTCACTGCCAGGCCCTGGGGCCACCATGCCGGTCTTTGATCAGCCAAATCTTATCCACCACCTTCCCATCCTGAAAACCAAAAGCAAAGGGGGGGATCAGGCGAAGTCTGGCTGCCATGGAGGGAGGGGGTGGGTGGGCGGCCACCCTGAGCAGTGCAGGAAGCGTCTCCCCCAGGAGGCTAAGTGGCTGGAGCTCAGGGCCAGCTCAGGTGGAGCAAGGCTGCTTGGCCGCCAGGATTTCCCAGGCTGGGGAAATTCACAAGCCAAGCGGAGCCACGGACTCGGGGCTGCTGTTGAAGCTCCCACCTGGTCATCCGAGACCTGCTCCAACCAGAGGTGGGTCATGTTGACGATCTGCATGCGGGCGTACCCATAATCCTCAACCCGCAGAGCACTCCATTCTCGGGGGTCTGGGATGAAAGGGTCCAGCCGCTCCTTGCAACCCTGGGGAGGGGAGGGGGGGGGATGAAAGGGAATGCAGCTCAGCCGCCAAAGGCCCCATGGCCAAGTGCAAAGAGCCTAAAGTCTGCCCCCCACTCCCCCCACCCTGGGCTTTCTCCACCCAGCACTTCCAGTCCTTGACTTAGGACCACAATAGGCGGCTTCCCAGGAAAAGAATTCTGTATATGCTCAGAGACGTCACGGTTAGTTCACGCTGCCCATCTGCAAACTTACGGCTGATCCAGTGATAATGTGGACGGGGGCGCTGGGATTGGTGTAAGGGGCTGCGGTGCTCCCATTGTAAACCTGGATGCGGGAGGAGAAGGAAGGGAAAGAATGAACTGGGGTGCTGGGGGGGGCAGCTGCCCCTCTGCTCTGCCCACTTCTCTGCGTTGGGGGAACCTGCGGACTGAGGCCGCTTGGTCACTCCTGCAGCTTTGCAGCCCTCCATCCACCATCTTCCAGGTGGCCTGGTCTGCCTTTGGAAGCTAAGGAGGGGCAGGGCTGGTTAGAAATTTGATGGGAAACTAGCAATGAAACCCAAGGCTGGGTTAAATTGAGATGTTTTTGAAAAATCCACGCAAAAGGGGCAGGCAGAGAACTGGGCACTGTGGGTTTTAAAATCAGGGAGCCCCCTTGCTCCTCCCAGGGAGCCATTCAGGTGCTCCCCCTGGCTAGGAAGGAGGAAGGCAGCCCATTCTGAACCCCACCCCCCACCCCCCAGCCCCCAAAGCTGGACTCACCTTGTAATCATAGAGAGGCCAGAGACGTTCGTAGGAATGCTCGTGAGCCCACAGCGTCAGATCGACCCCTGGAGGAAGAGAAAGCGGGGGGACGAAGGGGAGCCCATTGACACGGCTTATCAGAAGGTTGCAAAAGGGGATCACGTGACCCCCAGACACCGCAGTGGTCATAAGTATGAAGCAGTGGGGATGCTGCAAAGGTTGTAAGTGTGAAAAAAGGCCATAAGTCACTTTTTTCAGTGCCGTTGTAACTCTGAGTGGCCACTAAGTGAGTTGGGTCAGGGGAGGACTCCCTCTGTGTGCCTTCCCTTGGAGGGGTTCCCGGGGCCTTCAGCAGGGGCTGCCTGGGGGAACTGACCGTATTTGTAGAAAAGATCCTCCAGGCCGTAACGGTTTGGCTTCAGTCCTTTGCGCACCTGGAAAGATTTAGTTTATTTGTATATTTAGATTTAGTTTATTTGAGAGGCCCACAAACCACACTGAGTGCCCCCTGCTGAACCTTGGAGCCCCTTTGTGGCTGTGCTGGGCCCGGGACTCAGCCTCCTGCCCACTTCCAGCTCCAGCTGAAGCAAGCCGCTTCAGAACGACAGAATAACAGATTTGGGAGGGACCCGAGAGGTCTTCTAGTCCGGCCCCCTGCTCAAGTAGGAGATCCCAGATCAGGGCTGTCCAACCTTGAGACTTCAACTCCCAGAATCCCCTGGCCAGCTAGAGTGTTGAAATGCACAAAAAGGTCCCAAATTGGAACCCTTAACCTAGACCAGTGTTTCTCAACCTTGGTGACTTTAAGTCCTGTGGACTTCAACTCCCAGAATCCCCCAGCCAGCACAGCTGGCTGGGGGATTCTGGAAGTTAAAGTCCACGGGACTTAAAAGTCCTCAAGATTGAGAAACACTGAGCTGGACTCTTTCAGATAAATGGCTGTCCATCTCCTCTTCTTCAAAGCCTTCGGGGACGGGGGCCCACTCAGCCCCCGGAGGAGAGATGCTCCACCGCTTGATTGTTCTCACTGCCAGGAAGTTTTTCCTTATTGGATCCCTCTTCAGTGAGTTTCCATCCTACCTTATCATCCAGCTTATCTCATTATATTTACTTGTTTTTCTTTTATAATTAAGTGTCATTTCACTTCCGCCTTATCCTCCTGGCTGCAAACATCTGCCTGAAAGGATCAGGTGAGGGTCGGCCGCCAGAGACAGGCAACCATATACCTTGGTTTCATAAAATAAATGTTTCGGCCCCTCTCCCCCCTATTTCCTCGGGGGCTCAAACCGGCTTCTCCAAGGCCTACTTACGATGCTCTCGTGCTGGGTGCAGTCGTCCTTGTCGTTGTTGGAGCAGTACATGGGCCGATGCCCCATGGTGATGATCCAGGGGCGCTCCCCACGCCGTGTAGGCCGGTTTGCCTCCTGCCCCCGAGAGGAACGAACCAGAGGCTGGTCTTTGCCTGGGGCAAACTGGCTCCGCCCACCCAAATCCGGACCCCGCCTACCTGGAGGTCCCTCTCCAACCACTGGAACTGCTTGGCTACCAGCTCCTCCCCGTAGCCCAGGAAGAAGTACACCTCCGTGGAGAAGGAAATGAGGTGAGCAGGGCCTACATCCCAGCTGGGAAGGGGGCAAGATAGACAGCCACTAAGAGCAGGGGGACGAGTGGGGGGAAAGAAGCCCCCTCCCCCAGAGGATGGGGGCCCCAGAGCCCAGACCCCCCCGCCCAGACCTGCCCCCAAAGCAATTGGAAGCAGAGAGTGAGTCTGGTGGGGCAGGGCAGGGGATGGATGGACGGAGGAGAGGGAGAGCTTCGGCTAGAGACACTCCCTGGGGGGCTTTGGGCCAGGTATTGTGTCTCAGCCTCCCTCACAGGGTAGGTGTGTGTAGGAGAAGGAATAGCAAGGGCAGAGTCAAAAGGGGCACCAGCCTAGCCTCCTTGCATAGCCACAAGCAAACTAAGTCCAACCTCTCTTGAATCCCATGGAGCCGTATCTAAGTCGGGGCTGAATATTAGTTGAGAAGATTCCTGTGCAAAGGCTTTTAGCAATAAAGCAGTTTACTTGGACCTTCGTGGAGGAAACTGCCTTTTGGGCCTGACATTAATACTACAGCCATACAAGGCAGGAGCCGCTCCGGACCTCTCCTTCCCCCCAGGAAAGGAAGTGGAGAGCCTGGGAAGGAAGAGGGTCTCGGTGTCTTGGCCTTGTGCCCCTTGTAGCCCAGGGACGCACCTGTACCAGAGGCTCTCGGTGTCTCCGGGCATGCTGAAGCGGGACCGGTAGTTGGAGAAATTGCTGCAGGAGGGTGGAAGGGAAGGAGATGGATGCAAAAACAGTGGCCCTTCCCTTCGTTATGTCACCCAGCAAAACCGGGACGCCTAGGCTGTATTCCCACCCCCCACCCAGAGAGGGAGGGCCGCCCTGGGAGTTACAAGGAGGCCACCAGAACCAGCAGGCAGACTGGAAGAGGCGCGGGCATCTCTTCAATCTGGCTCAGCTCCACTCACTACTTCTCCTCATGGTTTCCCGGGCAAGTCATATATGGCACAAAGGCAGCCACAGCCTCGATTTTCCGCATGAAGGCATCCCCGACGAGGGCGTTATCCTGCGGGGGTGGAACAGAGAGAGGTTGGGACGGGGCAATGTCCAGGGGCAGAGATCTCCTGCNTTTAAAAGCAAGATCTCCAGCATTATATGAACACTTTCCTCCAATTCTTGTGCTATTTTCACTTCCTTAATAAAGAATTCCATACAGGTTACAGGTAGTCCTCGACTTACCCACAGTTCATTTAGTGACCATTCAAAGGTATAACAGCCCTGAAAACAGTGACTTAGGACCATTTTTCACACTTTTGACCATTGGTCTCGTGATCAAAATTCAGGCACTTGGCAACTGACTGGTATTTATGACGGTTGCAGTGTCCGGGGGTCAAGTGATCACCATTTGCAACCTTCTGACAAGCCAAGTCAATGGGGAAGCCAGATTCATTTAACAACCAGGTTACTAACTTTATTACTGCAGTGATTCACTTAACAACTGTGACAAGAAGGGTCGCAATACGCGGCAAAACTCACTTAACAAATATCCCACTTAGCAACATAAACTTTAGGCGTAGGTCAAGGACTATGTGTATATAATTAGGTTAGAAGGTTATAGCTTAAGTCTCACAGGTTTCTATCTACTAGGTGTTTAGGTAAATGAAGAACTGGACTTGAATAAACTTCACTGTTTTGTCTTTGGACTTGGGCCTGGCAACTGGTGAGAAAAATCATAAGACCACAATATTGCTTTAATTCATGTTCTTTAATAAAGATGCAGTCAACATTATTGCCTAATTAATTCGCTCGGATTTCTAAGCAGATGTGAATCATTTGGGCACAAAACATAATTCCTCCCTTTCTTTTGCTTCTATTCTTTTTGAACCTATGGTATCCTTTCATTGTTATATTTCCATCATGGCAGACAGCTCTCCAAACCTGTTTCATACTGTAAAATCAACAATGTTTGGAAGCTAAGCTTGTTTAGGCCTGCTGAGTATTTTAGACGGGACGTCATGAGGGAGAATCGAGGCTGCATTTTAAGCCCGTGATGATGAACCTATGGCCTGTGTGCCACAGGTGGCACTCAGAGCCTTCTCTGTGGGCACGCGAGCCATCGCCCCACTCAGCCCCACCATGCATGCACGCATGCCTCCTGCCAGCCAACTGATTTTCAGGTCTCTGCTGCACATGCACGGGGGTGGGGCGCATGCAGGAGACACACATATATGCATGGAGGGCCATGCATGCATACGTGGGGGAAGGGGGATGTGGCACACACACCCATGAGCCATTTTTGCTGCAGGGAGGCCTACTAGGCCCAAAATGCAGTGTATGTGTGGGGGTACGGCACTTCCCACACAGCAGAACATTTTTGCCCTCAGGAGGCTGAATGTAGGCCTACTTGGCCCAAAATGAGGCACGGAGTAGGTCGCCCCCCCCCTCGCGCAGCCTGTTTTTGCTCCCAGGAGGCTGCAGGGAGGCCTACTAGGCCCAAAATGGGCTGCGTGGCGCATTGCATTATGGCTGCTGTTGCGCATGTATGCACACACTTAAGACATGTGACAACAAAAAGGTTAGCAATCACTGCTTTAGGCTGTGTGTGTGTGTGTGTGTGTGTGTGTGTGTGTGTGTATGTGAGCACGCACATCTTAGACTTAAGAGTGTGGGCTGTTGGCGACTGCCTGGACTAATCCCTGCATTAGAGCCAAGGTGGCGCAGTGGTTAAATGCAGCACTGCAGGCTACTGCTAGATCAGCAGNAAGTGCCTGTCAGTCTGGATTCTGAAGTGCCACAAGATCTTGACTTTCTCATTCTCTAAAACCTTCTGAACCTGATGTTCCCAATTATTATTATTATTATCATTATCATCTCTTATATTCATTAACCATGAAACTCAGTCAACTAAACATTTAAAAATGTATTACCGTGTTTCCCTGAAAATATGACATGTCCTGAAAATAAGGCCATGCCATATTTTTCAGTTGGGCAATAATATAAGCCCCCCCTCAAATAAGCCCCTTGGACAATCCACCCCCTCAGGCCAGGCAGAGCACCACTCACCAACCTAGCAGTATCCTGAAGACGCCAAGCTGCAGGAACTGGTGGAGGGTCAAAGGAGCTTGCGTTGCTTGTTGCCTTCAGGCTACCGCTAGGTCAGTGAATGGCGCTGTGCCCAGCTGGAGAGGGGGTTTGCCAGGTGGCTGCTCTCTTGCAAGTGGGCTCCTGAAGAGCTGGGCACAGCCTCGGGCGAACACAGCAGCCATGAGGTGACCATGCTCATAAGCAGCTGCCTGGCATACCCCCTTTCCAGCCGGGCAGAGCACCATTCACTGACCTAGAGGTATTTTGAAGGCGCCAAGCCACGGGAATGCCTGTTCCCCGCCTCCCAGCCCCCGTAGCTCGGCGCCTTCGGAATACCTTTTGGTCAGTGAATGATGCTCTGCACAGCTGGAGAGGGGGGTTGTGTGAGCGGCTGTTCGGCTTGCGTGCCTCCTAGCCTCACCATGCCCTCCCTGCTCTCCTAGCCTCACCATGCCCACCATGCTCTCCCTGCTGGGCCAGGGCACCACCGGTAAGTCGAGGACTACCAGTATATTCACTCTGCTCCCTTCTCTTCCTGCAGACCGGGTGGGTTGGCCCCTTCCTGCCGTGGAAGTGGATTATCCCGAAGGCCTTGATCGCTTCAAACATTTTGCCAGGTTTCTCCTGGAAGGGAAGGTGAGTGTCTGCTTCGCTTTACAGCCAGTCCTCCACTTACGACCACAATTGGGACCTGAACTTAGGTCGATAAGCGATGCCACCTTTAAATGAGTCATCCCATGATTGTACTCAATTAGATGACCTTTCTGCTGTGATCATTACGCGAATCTGGAAATGGTCATCACGTGGGCCCCCCTAGGATGCTGCAACTGTCATAAATGCAGACATAAGAATGAGGATTGGTTGTAAGTCACTTTTCAGCACCATCGTAACCATGAACAAATGGTCACAAGATGAGAATTGTCCATATCTCTGCCATGATCCACTGCTGTTTCAGACTTAATTTTAAACGTTTTCCCCAACCTCAGGCCTGGCTGTTCAGTCCATTTGACTACAAATACCATGCCCTCCACCCAGCAGTAGCCAAATTAGCTGCACATGGGAGTGGTAGTCCAGCAATAACCAAAAGGCCAGTAATTTTCTACCTTTAGATTTTTAAAAATCCATTTTTTGGAGACTGTGTTTACTTGGATAGGAATGCCACAGATTAAAAAGTTGGAGACGAGTGATTGGAAAAATGTTCCAGGGTTGTCAACTTCACAAATAAATAGATTCATCAGTGACACACTCTTTTTCCCCCCTAGGTTGTGAAACGGTTGTCGGCTTACAGCTGTTGCCTGCTCTCAAGTCCAGTCACGATGCTAAAGACCTGGTCCAAGTAGGTTGTGAGCTGTCTCTCCCCTCCTTGTGTAATGGGATGTGAAAATTGTGTGTCTATCGCTCTGTCCACACACATAGAGTCAGCCTTGGGACCACTTACATTTGCTCCCATACTTACCTTTGATAGAATACAGCTGGAAGAGACCCTGGAGGTCTTCTAGTCCAGCCCCCTGCTCAAGCAGGAGATCCTATACCATTTCAAACAAGTGACTGTCCAGTTTCTCCTTAAGCACTTCCAGTGTTGGAGCACCCACAACCTCTGAAGGCAACTTCTGTTCCACTGGCTAATTGTCCTCACTGTTAGGAAGTTTCTCCTCAATTCCAGGTCCCTTGTTTAGTTTCCATCCATTGTTTCTTGTCTTGCCTTCTGGTGCTTTGGAAAATAAATTGACTTCCCCCTCTTCTTTGTGGCAGCCCCACAGTTATCATGTCCTCCCTAGTCCTTCTTTTCTCTAGACTAGCCAAACCCAAATCCTCCAACCATTCTTTGTATTTTTTAGTCTCCAGGCCTTTAATCATCTCCGTTGCTCTTCTTTGCACTTTTTCCAAAGTAACAGGTTAGCAGAGTTGGAAGGGACCTTGTAGGTCCACCCCCCACCCCAAGCAGGAGACCCTACACAATTTCTGACAGATGGTAGTCCCATCTCTCTTTGAAAGTCTCAAGTGAAGCTCCCACAACTTCCGAAGGAAACTTCTGTTCCATGGGTTGATTGTTCTCACTGTCAGGAAATTCCTCCTTATTTCCAGATTGGATCTCTCCTTGTTCAGTTTCCATCCATTTTCCTTCTCTGGCCTTCGGGTGCTTTGGAAAATAGCTTGACCTCTTCCTCTCTGTGGCAGCCCCTCAAATATTAGTAGACTGCTATCCTATCTCCCCTGGTCTTTCTCTTCACTGGACTAGCCATGCCCAGTTCCTGCAACCGTTCTTCGTATCTTTTAGCCTCAAGTCACCTCATCATCCTGGTTGCTCTTCTCTGCACTCTTTCTAGAGTCTCCACATCTTTTTTATAGCGTGGTGACCAAAACTGGTTGCAGAACTCTAGGTGTGGTCTTACTAAGGCTTTATGGAGTGGTATTAGTACCTCACTTGATCTTGATTGAATCCCTCTGTTAATGCAATTTAGGATTGCATTGGCTTTTTTGGCTGTTGCTGCACATTAATTGATGAAAAGTTGGTTTTATTTATCCCTCTGGATTCAATCTTTTGCTTGGTGTTCCTTATAGACTTCAGCCCAGGACAGAATCTTTGCTTCAAGCGCTCGTTTCTGAAAATGCTGATAAACTGGACACTTTGCAGCTGGCCTGGGAGAAAAATCCAAAATGTAAGCATTCAGATTGCCAAGATTTTAATTTTTTAGATATTTTTTAATTGTACTTAATTCCGCCACCAAGGCATGTAAGGTTTTACAACCTGCAGTATTTGGGAATCACGATCGCAAGCTAAATTCAGGAATCGAAACTTTTAATCGCAGCAGACTGACGCGTCATTCCTTTCTCCAATTTTAATCTTCTCGTTTCAGATTTATTGGCTGAATATTGCCAGTGGGTTCCCGAAGTTATCCATGAGGAAATTGCTAAAATGTGGCCTCCGGTGCATTGATGCGGTGAATGTTTGAGCCAGGAACCCTCCAGCTTGCATTCTTCCTGAAAATACCATGAAGAAAAGCAAGATCCGTAATTGCACAAGGAAACGGAAGAAAGATTAAATCTTTCTTCATTTGTCATCCAAAGGAACAACACGTGTGTAATTTGTGACCTGCAAAGAAGTGACACGTGGGACAATTGTGACACAAAAAATAATAATCATGCAGATGATTTTGGTTGGGCTGAATGCAACAGCTGTCCAGCGAAAAAATTGATGCACATCCTTTCATACAAACGAAATTCATTGTTTCTCAACCTTGGGAACTTTAAGACTTCAACTCCCAGAACCCCCCCAGGGTCTGGCTTCTCTTGAGAACAGACTCTCTTTGGTTGCTAGAACTCGTCCAATATTTCTCAACCTGAGCACCTTTTAAGAGGTTTGGACTTCAATTCCCAGAATTCCCCCAGCTGGCAAAGTTTGAAACACCCTGGATTGCTGTCGCAAAGATCTCACATTCCATTAAGCAGCATTTACTTTAATCATGGTTTGTTTTTTTGGCTAAGCCATGGAGGTTATCTTTTCCTCCCCAAACCCAGAAACCTTGCTTAGATACACAGTACATCCCAATAGATTACATCACACAAACATAAAACATGGGCTGCAAACATAAAAGATTTAGCAGAGTACACAGCCTTTATACATTTCAACTAGACAACTAACTACAGTTATGCCAAGTTTTGTAGAAATAAATGCCAAGAAAGGAAATACTCTAATATGCCACTGCATATTGGAAAAAACCCACTATGGTTTTGAGTCTCTTTGCACCTGTTTCTTTGAGTTTAAAAGGCTCCTGATGTTAATCGTGACATTTTCAGTCCGTATCCACAGGATGTTGCAGCCATTTGTAAATGTAATAGTTTGAATGAATATTTGCTGTCGGCGTTTGGTTATTTATTTTCCTTTCTTTAGACATGCAAAGCATTCAGGGGTTTTAATCTGAATGCTCATGACTGGCGCAACGAGCAGATTATTTCTTTGCAAATGAGTTCCAGTGGACAACAATTTAAATATGAGCCAGCAGTGTGCAGTAGCTGCCAACACAGTTCTAAGCTGCATAAACAGAGGGATAGAATCAAGATCACATGAAGTTTTAATACCACTTTATAATGCCTTGGTAAGGGCACACTTGGAATCCTGCATCCAGTTTTGGTTGCCACAATGTAAAAAAGATACTGAGACTAGAAAGAGTGCAGAGAAGAGCAACAAAGATGATATGGGGGATGGAGGCTAAAACAAAAAATGAATGGTTGCAGGAACTGGGCATGGCTAGTCTAGTGAAGAGAAGGACAAGGGGAGACATTAAAACAGTCTTCCAATATCTGGGGGGCTGCCACAGAGAAGAGGGAGTCAAACTGTTCTCTAAAAGCACCCGAAGGCCTAAGGCAGTGATGGCGAACCTATGACACGCGTGTCA